ACCCCCTTCCACCCCTGCCTCCAGCCAGGGCTCCACTCCCCTTCTTCCCATTGTCCCACTCTCTGGGAGATCACTGGTCAGAGAGGTTCAAAGCCCCCTTGCATAATGACTCATCCCCTGCCCTGCTGGGCCGTGCTGTAGCCAGCAGCCAGTAGAGGTCACTCACAACCCACTGCCCAGCATAGCAACCAGCAAGGTACCCACACTATGTCACACATCCTAGCCATAAAGTCTGTCTTTTGTGCACTTAGCGATTGGAAGGACTTGGGAATCAAATCAAGTCATGGTCACAATACCACAGTGCATTGATCACCAGGCTATTGCAGTGTTTCTCAAAGTGGTCCACAGACTCACTCTGAGAAAACTGCTACTGGGCGGCTCCAGTTTGTTTACTTGCCAGCTCTGCAGCCACGGAGCCTCTCAGCTCCCTTTGGCTCCATTTCACCATTTGCAGCCAAGGGGAGCTGCAGGAAACAGCAGCAGCAGCCGCCTGGCTCACACCACTTCCTGTGGCTCCCATTGGCTGCAGAAGGTGAACCCCAGCCAATGAGAGCCACGAGGCCCAGAGCAGCTCTCGAGTGTGTCCATGGACCACTTTGAGAAACACTGCTCTATCTAGTCACTAAACCAAAATCACAAGAAAAGCAATAGACTTCCCCTTAGAGAATAGAAGGTACTTTCATATACTAGCATAAGCACAGATCTGGCAATCAAGAGGGCAGGGGTCCATGCCCAGTTCGGCTAATGACTTATGTGACTTTGGCCAAGGCACGTGAGTTCTGTGTCTAAGGTTTTGCCACCTGTAAACTGATCATTCCCTCCCTCAGAGGCTTATTTCAATAGGTTTGTACAATGCTTTGAAATGTTCCAAAACGAGCTAAAACGTGCAGAGAACGATTAGCTAGTAGCAATGGAAAGGCAGAGTTTGAGGGGGGGGGGAAGAGAGCGTTCATTTGCTCTGTAACAAACTTCTGTATATGGTTTTTCTTTGACAGAAGTGTGAGCTTGAGAGAAGTTGTCATGACTTGTCTGGGAGATTTCTAGGTAACCTTCAGTAAGAATATCTCCTGCCACATACCTTACTATATCCTGTTCTGCCCCGGCTCCTGAGGCATAGCAGAAAGCATTTGAGAAATGTTCCACGTGGGCGCATTTGTGCCATGAGTCACTGGCTCCCTAACCTATGGGGCTGGAGGGAGATATGGCATTGGATTGCTTAATTATGTACTGAACTCTGCCTCTCCCCTTCAGTCAGGCATCCAGCTGGTTCCTGCAAGCTCAAGCAGGTGTGATTTCCTAGCATGCTTACTCAATTATCACTTATCACCTTCACTGGGCAGACATTCAAGGTGCAAAATAGTGATAGAAATGTAGCCCTGTTAGTCTGGTGTAGCTGAAACAAAAAACAGGACTATATAGCACTTTAAAGACTAACAAGGTGGGGTGATAGTGGGGTATAGGTTGTTAATCTCTGTGGAATGTCTCCAGTGTTTCTTGGCCATGCGTCCAGATCATAAAGATGTCATCGATGTAGCGTAAGTAGTCTCCTATAGACAACCACCTAACCTCAAGATGATTCTTACCAACAACTACAGGACATACCACACTAATACCAACCCTGGTACCTTCCCTTGCAACAAACCCCGTTGCCAGATTTGTCCACATATTCACTCTGCTAATACCATTATTGGACCGAACCAAATGAGTGATAAGATCAAGAACACCTATTCCTGCGCATCCAGAAATATAATTTATGCTATCATGTGCCGAAAGTGTCCATCTGCTATGTACATTGGACAAACATCTCAGACACTTTGCCAAAGAATCAATGCCCACAAAACAGATATTAGACAGGATCACAAAAAAAGTTTCTTGCCATTTCAACCAGCAAGGACATTGTCTCAATGACTTGATTACCTGCATCCTGCTTCAAGGGCCTTTTAAGACTTCACTTCAAAGAGAATCCTCTGAACTGTCATTCATGCTTAAATTCGACACTTTACACTTAAGTTTGAATAAAGATGCTAATTATCTTACCCATTACAAAGATAGGTGATAATTGGGGAAGCTAATATCATTAGCTCACAGACATTCTCTCCCCCCCTCCCCCACCGGGTCTGAAATGTGATTTGTCCTTTTCATGTGTGTTCATTTTTTTAATTGTATCCTTTGGTATATATGGTTGTGACAATTTTCTTCCACTGTTTGATCTGAGGAATTGGGTCTGGCTCACGAAAGCTCATCACCTAATAAACCATCTTGTTAGTCTTTAAAGTGCTACATAGTCATGTTTTTTGTTTAAGGTGCAAATGTGTGCAATAGGGAGGCTCATACAGCCTGTAACCCATCAGCTCCTGGAGCAGCATAGGCCTTAGGTATCTGAATGAGGGTGCAGGGAGTAGAGGGAATTTGAGCTGATATTTTCCTTCCCCTTCTCTTTGGAGCCACAGGCTGCCAGCCATGCACCCGAGGTCTTGCCTGTCAGCCCTGTGCCCAGAGCTTCACGCTCTAGGCCCCACCTACCAGCCTTGGTTTTTAGCCAAAGCTTTGCTCCAGGCCTTGCCCCTAACTGTGGCCCTCACCTCAGCTAAGTTACCCCTATTTGCATCCTTTGCTCACAGCTCTGGGGAATGGGAGATGTGGACGGGGATTGGGAGGGGGGAGGTAAAAAGATTGGGAACCTCTGTGCTAGGCAAAAGGCCATCTGGCTGCAAGACTATGTAGGGCGTCAGTGATTCAGGTACATCAAGAGGATTCAAGGAAGGATTAGAGAGATATGAACTGGAATAGAGTATCTGTTGAAACTACCTAGAGCAGGGGTGAGCAGTGGGTCCCATGGGCCAGAGACAGTTCGTAAGTGTTAGCCCCTGGTGGACCACCAAACTCTTTAGAGGTACAGTTGCTTGTAGCTCCTGTTGACTGTGGTTTGCTGTTCCCGGCCAATGGGAGCTGCAGGAAGTAGTGGTTTGGCCTGTGCCCCCATTGGCTGGGAATGGCAAACCGCAACCAACAGGAGCTGCGATTACTTGTGCAGCCACAGGTACAGTCAAACAAAGCATCTGGCGGCCTGCCAGGAACTAACCCTAGCAAACCCTGTCTAGCTCATGAGATGCTTATTGCCCACCTCTGATCTAGACATATGTAATCACACAGGATAGCAATCCTCAAGCTTTCAGCCAAGCAGATCCTCTCACAACTGGGGTCTGGGATTAGAAACCGCTGTCATTATACATGCTCTA